CATACCAGGCAACATCCTGGTAAATCTCCTCTGCACCCTTTCCAATGTTTCCACATCCCACGGTCATGTTCACTGTCCACACACTTAAGCCACAGCAACCACATCTATGATGGTGGTAGCCACGATGTGCTCAACCTCACAGATTTGCCACAGTAACACGAGCCGCAGCTCAAGTTTTTACAACTGACAAGATTTTCTATACACATGATTATTCAGGACAAAGAAGGCACCCTGGAGTTCCCAAATGAAACAAGATGTACACTGTTGGAGCACCGCTGCCATTCCTCTATTAGATAATAAATTTTATTACTAATAAGCATCTGCTACTAATAGAGCGAGTACACCAAAGGCAGGTACAAGTTAAAATGAAACAATCCTTTCGTTTGACAGACGGCGCACGTGTCCAAGAATACTCACCTGAGCCATGTGTGGTATTCCTGGTGTCTGTCAGCCCATAGTTGCCACGGATTGATTTCGGAGCAGAGTAGCGCGCTCGGAACACCTTGGTGGGGCCCATCAGATGGCGCCAACGCTGGATGGCATCTTCACGAGCCAGGATGTATGCTCTCATAGGACCACTGTCAAACAGGAGAGAAGTCAAGTGGCAAGGTTAGAGGCAGAGCAACTGTGTCATCATATGGGTAAAGGAGATAGTACCAATGGCTGCGGTTTGCTGTGCCTATAATACCCACCTGGTCATGAACTCCACCACTCGCTGATAGAAGAATCTACCTGTAACAATACAACAAATCAGGAAAACAAAATGAAGCATGTTCTAAGATTGGATAAGAGTTTTCTTTTCAAATTTATGAGGGATCTGAACAAGAATAGACAGGGAGAAGCTGTTCCCATTGATGAGAACCAGCAGGTACAGATTTAAGGAGACCAAAAGATGCGATTGTGCCATGAGGAGAATCATTACACAGTGGGTGGTTAGAGTCTGCAAGCAGATTAAATCAAGGCTTTCATAAAGAATTAGAGAATGAGTTGAAGAGAAAATACATGCTGGGAAATAGGACTAGCCACGCTGCTGTCAGACACACCACCACCCAAATGGTGGCATTGTGAACGGCAACCATTGTATGTATGATTCTATGACAGTGTTTTCAAACCCATAATCTGTAGCCCAGAACACAAATAACAGTAGGCACATGGGAATGCCAAAACTTCTGGTGGCAATTAGCCAGCAAGACCTACATGGCAGGCAAACTGAAAAGAAAGATTTCAATGTACTCATCAATACTCCCAGGAGCACAGACCCATACCTGAATGCTCTGCGTAAAATGTCCGAGACTCTTCCTGATCCCATTTTAAATACTTGTGCATCAGGATGATGAAGTTGTTGTCCAATATCTTCTGATGGATAGCCTGAAAACAACAGTCAGCAAAAGATGACAGAGCTAGAGGAACTCATATAATGACTGATTCCAACCACTCAGGGCTGCCTCAGGGAATAGGGTGAAGGTGGGAGGATCACTGTTAGTCAAGGACAGAAAGGGGTCATAGGTCACAGAATCCCTACAGTGTGGAAACAGGCCCTTCAGCCTAATAAGTCCACACCGACCCTCAGAGCATCCCACCAGACCCATCCCCCTATAACCCACCTAATCTACACATCCCTGAGCACTACGGGCATTTTAGCATGGCCAATCCACCTAGCCTGCACATCTATAGACTGTGGGAGGAAACCGGAGCACCCGGAGGAAACACACGCAGATGGGGAGAGAATGTGCAAACTCCACACAGTCGCCTGAGGGTGGAATCAAACCCGGGTCCCTGGTGGTGTGAGGCAGCAGTGCTAACCGCTGTGCCACCATGCTGCCCTCAAATCCCTCCACAGTGCCACAGAGCTGCTTCACTGCTCCTCATGAGACAAGCCTCAACAAGGAGCACAGGGACAGATCAATAACAGGACTTCTGAGCTTGGCTGACCCAGCCCACATCCAGCATTCACACATACATAGCTCAAGCTAGACAGCATGCACAAACTAAGCTTGTCCTTCCCAACAACCTCAGCCACCCATTCTGCGCAATCCTTGATCACAGAGCATGTTCATTGTCATCCTACTCATGACAGGTTCCAGTTTTTAATCCAACATGACAGATTCCTACAATTATTTGGAGGCAGCCAAAAGCTTCACAGCATTGGAGAAACCTGGATACACTTAAGCTGTTAGTCATGTATAAAAGATATGCTTGCAAGGTTGAAGGTTAATCTAACTGCATTTAAGATACTAATGGGTATTGATGGAGGAGACAGACAGAAACTGCTTCTTCTGGAAGGGAATCAAGAAAAATGGAGATACACAAGATTTAATTTTGATTTTATTGTCACACGTACTCAAGTACATAAGTACCAGAGTACAGTGCAAAGTGCATTATGTTGCCACACAAGGTGCCATCTTAGGTATAAGTACCTAGGTACAGAATCTTAAGAACAAGGGAGAAAGAAAGAACAAAGTTAGAAGCTAAACATTGCAGTAATTATAGTATAGCGTAAAAACATACAAAATAAGTTTAAAAGTTACACATTGCAGACCTTCCTGGTTTAAGTAGTAAATAAAGAAATGAAGCTGAAAGTACAAGCATTATTGTCTTCCTTAACTGCTTAGCCTGAGTGGGACTGCACTTTGAGGAATCATCTCAAGACCAGAGGTCTAGGCTGATATAGGAATATCAAGAAATAGGAGTAGACCATAGCACCCAATCAGCATGCTCCACCATTTGAGAAGATCATGACTGATCGATTGTGACCCTCAACTTCACTTTGCTGGTCTGCCCATCCATAATCTTTAACTCCCATGTCAATCAGAAATCTAACTCGCTCAGCCTTGTACATATTTAATAAAACATTTTGCACTGCAGCCTGGGGAAGAGAATTCCTAAGACTAATGACACTGTGAGAGGAGAAAATGTTTCCTGAAGTAGATCTGAAATGGAAGATGCTGTCATTTTAAACCATGACCCCTAGTTCCAGAATCACACAAGGGGAAGTCAGCACCTGCCTTGCCAAGTACCCTGAGGACCATATATGTTTCAATAGGATTACATCTCATTCTTCTGAATTCCAACAGGCTCACTGACAATGTTAGAAATCTAGCTGTTTTAAGAATAAACTAGGAGCACTCCAGAATTAACTGGAAAGAGGTGTTGCTCATTAGACTTTGTACTTGAAAGCTAAGCTTTTCTCCAGTGAAGGTGGTGGCTTCTGGACATGGAAAGGGTCGAGAAGGGAAAGGTGAAAGGAGATTTAAAATAGGACCCTTGTAAATCTGTGAAAGTCTTTTGTTGCCTAATTCACTATATGGATATCAGTCTTAAACAGTGGGTCTGTTCTGTTGAATTTTTCTTCAGAATATAAGCCAATCAATTGAGTGAGGCTTCTCTAATCTGCTTCTGGTGCAACCATATCCGAAAAATTAACAGTACTTCAAATGTGGTCTCACAAAGCCCTTGTACAGTTGCATTAACAGCCTCCACCTGTATACTTTATTTCCTTGCAATAAAGGCTGTTTGTCTTTCTAATCACTTGCAATACCAGCATACCAGGAAATCCAGATCCCTCTATCACCGAGTTCTGCAACCTCTTTCCATTGAAATAACATACTACTTTTCTATTCTCCCCACCACATTGGACAATTTCATATATGTCCAACTTATATTCCTTTGCATTAGACTCTCAGGTAAAGTGATGGCTGGAAAATGGGAAGCCTTCAAAAATGAGATAACGAGAGTCCAGAGACTGTATTTCTATTGGGGTGAAGGGCAATGCTGGTAGATGTAGGGAATGCTGGATGACTAGGAAAATTGAGGTTTTGGTCAAGAAAAAGAAGGAAGTTTGTGTCGGGTACAGACAACGGGGATCAAGTGAATCCCCAGAAGAGTATAAAGACAACAGGAGTAAACTTAAGAGGGAAATCAGGAGGACAAAAGGGGGACATGAGATAGTTTTGGCAAATAGGGTTAAGGAGAATCTGAAGGGATTCTACAAACATATTAAGGACAAAAGAGTAACGAGAGAGAAGAAGGGTCCCATAAAGATTAGCAAGGCTATGTGTGGTACTGCAGGAGATGGGTGAGATACTAAATGAGTATTGGAACAATGTTTACTGTGGAGGATGTAGAAGATAGAGAACGAGGTGAAATAAATAGAGACATCTTGAAAAATGTCCATATTACAGTGGTGGTGCTGGACGTGTTAAAACGCATAAAGGTGGATTAAATCCCTGGGACCTGATCAGGTTTACACTAGAACTCTGGGAAGCTACGGAAGAGATTGCTGGGCTCCTTGATGAGATATCTGCATCATCAATAGCCACAGGTGAGGTGCCAGAAGACTGGAGGTTGCCTAACGTGGAGCCACTATTTAAGAAAGGTGGGAAGGAAAAGTCAGAGGACTACAGACCAGTGAGCCTGAACTCAGCACAGACACAAGACCCCAAGATGTCATGTTGCAGTTTTATAAGCCTTTGCTTAGGCCACACTTAGAGTATTGTGTTCAATTCTGGTCGCTAGATTACAGGATGGATGTGGATGCTTTGGAGAAGTTGCAGAAGTGGTTTACCAGGATGCTGGAGTCAATAGATGTGAAGCTGGAAAAGCGCAGCAGGTCAGACAGCATTCGAGGAGGCGGCAAGTGAACGTTTCAGGCTGAAACCCATTGTCAGATGTTGTCTGACCTGCTGCGCTTTTCCAGCTTCACATCTCTTGACTCTGGCTTCCAGCATCTGCAGTCCTTACTGTCTCCAAATTACCATGATACTGCCTGGATTAGAGGGTACGAGCTATAAGGAGAGGCTAGAAAAACTAGGACTGTTTACTCTGGAGCAGCAGAGACCGAGGGGAGGCTTGATAGAAGTGTATAAAATGATGAGATGCATAGATATGGCTGATGGTCAGAATCTTTTTCCTAGAGATGAACCGTCTGATACAAGGGGGCATGCATTTAAGGCTCAAAGGAGACAGCTCAAAGGAGACAGCTCAAAGGAGACAGCTCAAAGGAGACAGCTCAAAGGAGACATGAGGGGCAAGAGTGGTAGAAGTCTAGAGTGCACCGCCAGGAGTGGTGGTTGAAGCAGATGCAATAAGGGCATTTAACGGACTTTTAGATAAGCACATGAATATGCAAGGAATGGAGAGATATGGACCAGGGGCAGGCAGAAGGGATCAGTTTCATTTGGCGCCATGCTCGGTATAACATCATGGACTGAAGGGCCCATTCCTGTGCTGTACAGTTCTGGACAGCGAAGAAGGTACCTCAGAGTACAATTGGATGGGCCAATGGGCTGAGAAGTGGCAGATGGAGTTTAATTTAGATAAATGTGAGGTGCTGCATTTTGGAAAGGCAAATCAGGGCAGGACTTATACACTTAATGGTAAAGTTCTGGGGAGTGTTACTGAACAAAGAGACCTTGGAGTGCAGGTTCATAGTCCCTTTAAAGTGGTAGACAGGATAGGGAAGGCAGCATTTGTTATGCTTGCCCTCACTGATCAGTGCATTGAGTATAGGAGTTGGGAGGTCATGTTGCAGCCGTGCAGGACATTGGTTAGATCCCTTTGCAATACTGCATTCAATTCTGGTCTCCCTGCTACAGGAAGGATGTTGTAAAACTTGAAAGGGTTCAGAAATGCTTGCAAGGATGGTGCTAGGGTGGAGGGTTTGAGCTATAGGGAGAGACTGAATAGCCTGGGGCTATTTTCTATGAAGCATTGGAAGCTGAGGAGTGACCTTACAGAGGTTTATAAAATCATGAGGGGCATAGATAGGGTGAAGAGACAAGATCTTTTCCCCAGGGCACGGAGTCCATAACTATAGAGCATAGATTTAAGGTGAGAGGGCAAAAGATTTAAAACGGATCTAAGGGGCAATTTTTTTACGCAGATGGTGGTGCACTTTTGGAACGAGCTGCCAGAGAAGAGGTAGAGGCTTAAAAAGGCATCTGGATGGGTACATAAATAGGAAGGGTTTAATTGGGATATGGGCCAAATGCTGGCAAATGGGACTAGATTAATTTTGGACAGCTGGCAGGCATGGACAAGATGGACTGAAGGGTCTGTTTCCAAACCGTACAGCTCTATGACTCTAAGTTCTTCCTAACGTCTCTCTGGAAAAGTCTGGCCCTAATTCTCAGACTATGTCCGCAATTCTAGAATCTCCAACTAGTGGAAATAGTTTATATTTATCTGTTCTGTCTTTTCCTGTTAATATCTTGAAGACTTCAATCAAAATGTCCCTTAGCCTTCTAATTTCTAGGAAAGACAGGCCTGAACTGTACAATCTCTGATCATAACTTAACCCCTGAAGTCCAGGTATCATTTCTGTAAACCTATGTTGTAGTCAAGGTCAATAAATCCTTCCTAAAGTGGGGTGCCCGGATATGTTCACAGTACTCCACGTGGAATCTAATCTGGGTTTTGCGTAGCTTTAGCATAACTTCAGTGTCCTTGTACTGCAGCCCTCGAGATATAAAGGCCATCATTCCATTAATCTTCCTGGTTATTTTCTGCACCTGTTCATGGCATTTTAAAGATATAATTACCTGAAGCAGCAATACATTTATATGATTGAAAAAAAAATGAAGCCCCAACACTGATCCCTGTGGCATTCCACTCACTATGTTGTACCAACCGGAAAATGATGCACCTATTGCTATTCTCTGCTTCGTGTTTGTTAGGTCTATCCATGCTGTTACCCAACACCAAAAGGTTTTAATTTGTGTAGTAACTTTTGCTCATGGCATTTTACCAAACACCTTTTGGAAATCCAGGTGCACTACATCTACTTTGAGGAAGTAACAAAGAGGAAAAGAACTCTAATAAATTAAGTCAAATATGATTTTCCTGTCACAAAATTATGTTCTCTGCTTTCAACCTACTTTTTCAGTTCATTTAATCTAATTCCACCATTATAACCTTGCAAATGCCTTATTTAAAAGCACTAATCTTAGACCCAAATGTCTCATCTTTAAACAAATAAAGTTTTACATAGAATTTTTTCATAGAATCCCTAGTGTGGGAACAGGTCCTTCGGCCCAACATCAGCCAGACCAGAAAGCAGTTAGCCATCAGGATACATGAACACCAGCTAGCAGCAAAACAACACAACAAATTTTCCCTCATCTCAGTGCACTCGGACAATAAAGGCAATCGATTTAACTGGAACGTGACCATCCAAGCTCAAGCTAACCACAGACATGCACGGGAATTCCTAGAGACTTGGTTTTGAATCCGTAATGCAATTAACAAACATGTGGAATTCGACCCCATATACAAACCCATGCAGAATAGAACCGTAAATGATACGACCCAACTTAACAGACTGGATCATATAAATACCAAGCAGAGTAGAACAACATCGCTTCATCAGAGGCTGCACTGATGTTACCTAGCATGGTGACAAAACAGGCATACGATAACCAGCCAGCTCAGCCTAACCAACGTTCTGCACAGCCGCAAAATGACCTCCCAACTCAAATAGTCAATGCACTGAACTGACCATGTTTCCCAAACTAAAAAAGTCACATAAGGTGCAAGCTCTTTCCTACTTGCTTGAACTGAACTGTGGGCAAATTCGTAGAGGGACAATAGGAAGCTGCAGATATAATCTGCAGATCTAATGATCATTATATCTCATGCAGTCGCAAATGCCCACAGAATGAGTAAGGTGAACAGAAGTCCTCCCTACCTGCAGGATTAAGGGGTGAGCCACAGCATCAGGTTTAACTAGAGCCAATGTGAGCTGCAGTACTGGTCGCGAGCGTCCAACAGATGTCTGCATCTTCACAACTCTGAGAAGGTGAAACAGAACATCACCTTAATTAATGAAAATAACACAGTTCGACTAAACATGACTTATAAACTCACAGAGACCCTGGAACAGGAGGTAGTCCATTGTTAAAAAAGAACAACAGAGCTGCAGATGCTGTAATAACAGGGTGTAGAGCTGGATGAACACAGCAGGCCAAACAGCATCAGAGGAGCAGGAAGGCTGACGTTTCGGGCCGAGACCCTTCTTCAGAAATGGGGGAGGGGAAGGAGGTTCTGAAATAAATAGGGAGAGAGGGGGAGGCGGATAGAAGAGGGATAGAGGAGAAAATAGGTGGAGAGGAGACAGACAGGTAGGTGGAGAGTTAGGGAGGAGATAGGTCAGTCCAGGGAGGACGGACAGGTCAAGGGGGCGGGATGAGGTTGGTAGGTAGGAGATGGAGGTGCGGCTTGAGGTGGGAGGAGGGGATAGGTGGGAGGAAGAACAGGTTAGGGAGGCAGGGACGAGTGGGACTGGTTTTGGGATGCGGTAGGGGGAGGGGAGATTTTGAAACTTGTGAAATCCACATTGATACCATTGGGCTGCAGGGTTCCCAAGCGGAATATGAGTTGCTGTTCCTGCAACCTCCGGGTGGCATCGTTGTGGCACTGCAGGAGGCCCAGGATGGACATGTCGTCTGAGGAATGGGAGGGGGAGTTGAAATGGTTCGCGACTGGGAGGTGCAGTTGTTTAGTCCGAACCGAGCGTTAGGTGTTCTGCAAAGCAGTCCCCAAGCCTCCGCTTGGTTTCCCTGATGTAGAGG